GGTCTCATGGGACCTCAGTGTCATTTTCTATCTCTGATGTGTCCTTTCCACCGCCTTGGCAGGACTCCAAGGATCTCCAGGATGCCACAGGGACTGGGTGCTGGGATCCACCCTGCAAGTCAAGTGTTGATCTGACTCTCGATGGTGAGCTCAACCTCAGCAAATACCCTGTGTCCTCTTTTCCTGAGGGAAGAGAAGGGATCAGACCTTCACATTCTGTCTGTTCTTTGCCCAAGATTTACTTCTGTTCCCAGCTCACAGGTCAGGCCCTTCTGCTGTGATCCCAAGTCAGTTTTGCACAACAGGTTTTCCGTCCTATTTCCATGTGCAGATGTCTTGGATAGCCTGGGATGGCTCAAATGCAATGAAACACCTATATTCAGGCAAAAATTATTGGGTTTTTTTTTCTCTAGTGAAGTTTAAACATGACTCACACACAGACCTTATTTGAATGGAGATGTTTTAAATCCATGAGCTAAATCCCACAGACAGGACTGAGAAAAACCAAACCTAATTATCAGTGACCTTAATGTCACTCTCCACGATGTGTGTCTCCATGGAGGGACATTCAGATGTCTGAAAGTGGAGAAAAAAAAAAATAAAATACAGGTGGAAGCCTTTGCACAGGATGGCTGAAGTTTCCTGGGAAAACTCTGGGCAAATCCCAGCCCCAGCTACAATCTCTGTCCTGTGGAAAGATTGTAAAAGTCAGTTTACTGAGGACATGATTTTCAAATTCTGAGTGGTAACAGAAATTCCCCAGCAGGAACTGGCAAACGGTGATGGCAAAATCATGTGACCTTGATGGTTTAAGGTGCATTGGAGACTAATCTTGAATTTTCTGTTTATTTTCTCATTTCAGCCTCCAAGCGGGAAAATGAATGATGTAACTGGGGCATGGATGGGCTCAGTTCAGATGGAGGGGACACACAGAGCCTGGGTCCTTCCAGCTGAATCCCCTCTCCCATGATGGAAACTGGGAAGAATAGAAGGAAAGAAAAAGCCAACAGTGAAATATCCCTTGAAATATTCTCCCAACTGACAGCAATTGCTGCCTCAGGGATTTCTCAGCTCAGAGATTATATAAATGTTTCCAACAGCCCTTGATGGATTTACCTGTCACCGAGGCCCCCAGTTGCTGTTCTAACCCCTACAGACTTCTGGCAGGTGCAATATTTCGTGGTGATGAGCTCCACCATTCAAAAATGTACCTCATTTTGTTCATTTTGATAATTGGGTTTGATGTCGTTTTATGAGAAACAGAGAACAGTCATCCACTATTCATCTTGTCCCCAGCACTCCTGGTTTTATAGAGCTCCATTGTGTTCTTCCTCAGTCATCTCTGTGTTCCAGGAAAGCGCCCCTTGATTTAATTATCCTTTAGATGGAAACTATCCTGTATCCATCCTAGGTCTGTTCTATCTTTCTAGAGCTGGACTAATCAAAAGCAAACAGTGGTCAAATTAAAAGTACATCATTGATGTATGCAGAGCTGCAAAGGTATTTTCAAGGTCATTCTCCACCTCTTCCATTCTCTGTCCCCAAATTCCCTGATGTATTTTTCACCTCTGACTGCTATCAAATACTGATCCAGTGTTTTCATGTTGTATCTCCTTCTGTTTTTTTCCTTTTGCCTTTCTCTTTTGCCTTTCCCTGTCCTGTCTCAGATATGTATCACATATATATTTTCATATATATTTATATACATATTTATATATTTATTTTTTTATATAAATATATTTATATATGTGTATATATATGTGTGTGTATATATATATATATATACATAAGAATCACAGAATGGTTTGGGTTGGAAACGACTTAAAAGACCTCCCTGGAACACCTTCCACTAAACCAGGTTACTCCAAGCCCCATCCAACCTGGCCTTGAACACTTCCAGGGATGGGAAATGCACATCTTCTCTGGGCAACCTGTGCCAGGGTCTCGCCAATCTCACAGGGAAGGTTTTCTTCCTAATATCTAATCTAAACCTACTCTCTAGATGTGGCAGGTGCAACCTCTTCATCCCTGAGATTGTCCTACCCTGACTTGCTTTTATCACAAATTCTTGCATGTGGGAAAGATTATCCTTGTGAAATTGCAAAAAAAGCCTTTGAGAAATAACCATGAGTGGATAATTTTCAGATGTTTCTTCCTCCCTCCCTCTCTCCCTCCCTCCCTCCTTTCCTCATCCCCTACAGCCCTTGTTTTAAAAATCAGACACAGCAACAATTCACAGCAACATTTTAGACAGGTTTGTGCATGTATTTGGTACAAACAAACAAAAATATGTGCATTCTGTTCCATAGAGCTTACACCGATCTGACAGAACTCAGAACACAAAACAGAAATACTCTGGCTAATAAATACGTCTGGGGATGAAAAATAAAAATCTATACATAAAAAATTCCAATGTCTGCTAAAGAAAATGTACACTTATATACACGCTGTAAACAATAGTAATGCAACCCAACTGCAGTCCAGCTCAGGCTGACAGGGACCTTCCTTCCCTCGTGGACTCAGGGGAGTCCAGTGACACCAAAACTCATCAACAACTAGTTCCTTGAAGCAGCAAGGTCTGACAATGCAATAGTGACATGGAGCCAGTGCAATGAGGTGAGATCTGCTGGAAAAGCAAGGTGCAGGTGCTTTGGGGAACGACCTGTGTGGCAAACTTGGAGAAACAGGGCCATTCCCTCAGCTGGTCACACCCTTGTGGGTCCAGAGAAATCTGTGGGATCGGACCGAATTTACCTCCTGAAGGTTTGAGCCCGTGTTTCCAAACTTGGGAGAGTTTGGAAAGGTAAGGGATTCAAAGAGAAATGCTCAATTCTACAGACTTGGGTCATATTTTACACGACATTGTTGTTCCTCCCCGTACCAGCAATGACAGCCCTGTCTGCTCCCAACAAATCCCTCCAGGAGCAGTCTCAGAGTCCAGTCCTGGCACTGCTTCTGCTGCAAGAGGCCAAATGAAAGAGGGGGTTCTGGCTTAGGTGAGAAACAAGTATTTTGCCTGAATGCAGCACAGCAGAGCTCAAAGTTTCCCTACAGCACCTTCTACGGCATCTCTTGGGGCCAGATCAAACTCAGTAAGTAACTGAGCCAGAGTTTGGGCATTTACTTGTGTGTACATGTGCGCTTAAATATTTATCCTTGTTTTCTCCCTTGTAGGTGCGTAAAGAATTGGGATGGAGAGGCAGCAAACCTCCAGACTAATCTTTCTTTCCCTTCTGGATGCTTTCAAGGGGCTGGAGGCTGTAAATGCAAATGTTTCAAAACTGGGGAGGAAAAAAAAAAAGGAGTAGATAAAAAAATCAGGGAGAAGAGTAAGCAATAATACCAACTCATTTATGGGAATGCTTGCCAACATTTACTGAATCTTCATTTATAGGAGGATGTTGGCCCCTTTGTAGGAGAATGCCTTGTATTTTGGAGATGATCCATGTATATAAATACAGTAAAGTGTGTACATGTATCTCTCTGGTCATGGATGCACTCATGGACTGCCCCCTCTCTGGTCCCTTCTCTGCTACATCTCCAGTGCCTCCCATCAGGATCCCCAAAGCTCCCTGGAAACCAGTGGCACCTGCAGTCCTTACACTGCAAAATGACTTTTCATGTCACCCCATCATCACTGCAGGGTCTCACTTCCCCGAAAAGCCAAAGATATAGGGGAAAAAAAGACATGTATTTCCCCACAAAAATTCCCACGGGATGTTGGGTCCCTGCTTTTGTGGGGTTGAACCTCCCCAGCTGGAACCTCTGGGTGGTTTTGCAGATGCTGTAGAACATGATGAGTCTGAGTTCAGTGTAAATGCAATGCTGCCCATGTGCCTTGGTGGGATTTGCTGCTGGGAGGAAAATATTTGGATAAAATCTCCTAATATGTGTGCAATAATTGGTCCAGTTTGGAGCCCTGCATCAAGTAAAGGGCACTAAGGGTTTTTGAGATGGGGCCAACTCCAGATACATTGTCTCAATATGCAGTGCTCAAAAGACTAAAAAATAAAAAAGTCCAACTTTCTCTCTCTTTTGTTTTACTTTGAAGCAAATGAACAGCAGAAAGAAAGGTGACATTCTCTCTAATGTGCCGAGGAGCCTTTCATCTTCCTTTGACAGCCACCCTTGATTAGCTGCATGTGCTGTAGGCACATTCATGAAAGACTCCTCATGGGTTTGGGGGACAGTGCTGATGTGGATGAGCTTACACCCAGGAACACATTCATTGCCATGTTTCCACCTTTTGACTTCATGTTCCTGTTCTTTAGTCACCTGGCTTGAGCTGCTGCAGCTCAGATCCAGACTTCATCTCCATCACCTACGTGTCTTCTGCTCACGCCTTAACCCGATGATCATTATCTGAAGTTTGATAAAACCAGCCTGAATTTTGAAACCAGTGCCTGCAACACAGGGCCAAGCAGAGTTTGGGTGACCACTTTCTGAGTTGCCTGGCCGAGGTGGGCCTGTCATGGCCCCAACTCCCTGAGTTTCCCGGAGGAGACCGTGGTGCCCTCCTGAGGGGTGCTCACACTCTGGGGCTGTGAGCAGGGAAAACCAACCCTTACTGTCGTTGCTTTTGACCATGTTAGGGGACATACCCAAGGCAAAACCAAAGGTTTGATGTATCAGGTTTTTGGGAAGTCCTTTGGGAGAAGAGAAGAGTCAGGAGCATGACCCTGACTGGGGAGGAGATCCGTCCGTGCGTCAGGTCCATTTTAGCTTTGACCCAATGGGCAGTAGAAATGCAAACTTCCAAACTCAGCCATCCCATCTCTCCTGAGCCACAGAGCAGGATGGTTGAGGACCTGCATCACAGAATCATTATGGTTGGAGAAGACCTCTTGGATCATCGAGTCCAACCACTAACCGTGTTCACTACATGGCACATGTCACCAGGTGCCACATCCACACACCTTTGGACACTTCCAGGGGTGGTGACTCCACCACTTCCCTGTTCCAATGCCTGACCACCCTTTCAGCAAAGAAATTTTTCCCAATATCCAACCTAAACCTCCCCTGGCACACCCTGAGGCCATTTCCTCTTGTCCTGAGTGAATCCCCTGGGATGCACTTTTATCCTGTGTTTTTTGAGAGAAACAACTAGAGCAAGAAGGGGACAGAAAAGGTTGGGGATGACTGACACCAAAAGGAGCCGGTTACTCTCTGTATCACAGATGGATGAGCACTAAAGCAAGGTGGATTGCAAGTGTTTCACTGGAAAGTGAAATCAGAAATGCTTCACAGGCTGGAATTAGAGGAGAGAGACCTGTACACCCTGTGTAGACATCTGGACTCCTCCTCCAGCCTAAAACCAGGTTATGTGGAAGGGGCAAAGCCGTGGTCACTGCAGAGATGATGGCTGAGAACCAGGATCCCCCCATCCTGCTTGGAAATACCCCAGTCTGCTCAACCTCCAGAGCCAGGGGCTCGGCTGGAGGTCCTGTCCAGCCCTGCAGATCTGCAAGCTCCCAACCCATCATCTAAAGGATCAGCTGCCAGCTGCTGCTCGGCAGTGTCCTTTCTGGATGCTGCCTCTGGACAGAAACGTGATCACATGTACTAAGGCAGGGTTGGCATCTTTTGGGGTTTGATCTTTCCATCAGATTTCACGGTGGTGTTTTTAAGGCAAAGGAGACATCCTGGTTTCCCTTAATTGCACAGCTTCTTCCAAAGTCAAAGACAACCATCCCCTGGAGGGAGACAGCTCTTCTCCTAAGGCCACATCCACCCCACATCTTCCCCTCCTGCTGAGGTTTGTTAAAATGGGATATGCCATTGGCTCTTATTTGAGGAACCCATAATCCCACAGAAGGGGTTGAGCGCCACATGGGGGATTTTCGGATAACCTTTGGGCAACTGCATTTTATACCTGATTGCTGCTTCCAGTCTGCCTGACAGACCCACAGATGGTATCCCTCCACATTTCTGCTGTATACCTCTAAAGAAACCATCGACAGCTGTTCCAGAGGGTTCAAATATCTGTTTCTCTCAGCCCACAGCAGTCTGTTAAGTCATGGGTTTGATAGTCGATGGTTTCCGTGAAATCATGAGGGATCCCAATAGAGACAGACTCCACCTCTGTTTTGTAGGTGGCTGTCACCCCCCCTTTGCTGGAACCACCCCGGATTTTGTTAGAAAGGCTGTTCATCTTTTCCTTCAGCTGGGTGGATGCTGGTTTCTGGAAAGGAGTGAGCATTTTCCAGCCCTTGAAGCTGAGCGTTCGCCTCTTACTGGCTCTCTCCTGGAAGGAGGAGTTAAATATGAAGGAGCTGTTCAGGGTGTTAATCCTGGGCCTCAGGTCTGTCTCAGAGTCCTGCACCGAGCTGTTGGCAGAGGCCCCTCTCCAGTGGTGGTCGTAAACTCTCCAGATGGGCCGTCTCCTGCGGTGGCACTGGCACTTGAGCAGCCGGATGAACGCGCGCTTGAACTCCTTGCTGGAGCAGGGGTAGATGATGGGGTTCACGCAGCTGTTGAAGTACCCCAGCCAGAAGATGATCTTGAAGACAATTTCGGAGGGCTTCAGAGACGGGAAGAAAGAACCTTGGGAGAGATTAAAAGAAATGTGGTTTAGAGGAAGGGGAGGGTTATGGGAGCGCGGGGGAGCGAGGGCGGTGATCAGTCCAACTGGGAGAGGTAGAGATGTGTAGAAAAGACTGAAGGTGTGATGAGTGGAGAGACACTGGAACATGTTTCTCAGAGAATTTGTGGCTGCCCCATCCCTGGAAGCTTTCAAGGGCAGGTTGGCCAGGGCTTGGAGCAACCTGGGCTAGTGGAAGGTGTCCCTGCCTATGGCCAGGAATTGGAACTGGATGACTTTTAAGGTCTCTTCCAACCCAACCCATTATGTGATTCTACAATTCTGCTATTAGGTCCTTAACTTGAAATGCCATTACCACCAGAGGGATGATCTAGCCTGTGCAGGATTGGAAGGCATCAACCCTGCAGTGATAATGATCCCAGAATCCCAGAATATGCTGAGCTGGAAGGGACTCACAAGGATCATCGAGTCCAGCTCTTAGCCCTGCACAGGACCATCCCCAAGAGTCACACCCTGTGCCTGAGAGTGTGATAGATAATACTGTATTTTTGGCAGGACGCTCCTAGCCCCCACTGCAGAAGTTCTCCCAGCAGCAGAACCAGCACCCCCAAATCAGCTGTGAGCCATTGTGCAAACACACACAGCTTGCAGGGAGGCTGGGCTGTCATTCTGGGGAACAGCTTCAGTGTTGTGGTTTGTCAACACAAGGCAGCCAGGCCCTGTCCTATTCCACGTCAGACAGGAAAAATTGTTTGGTCTGCATGCATCAGTTCTTGGTGCCTGCCTCTTCCTACATATTTCACTTCCCCTGCAGACTAAAAGTGTGGATACAGCCCTGTCCCCTGAGCTGAGAGAAGAGCAACACCCCTTCAACTCCTCCACTCAGGCATTTTGGATCATCAGTGTCACACACCTTCTCTTGAAATTTTCAGTCATGCTAAGGTTGCTCAGATAATATCCGCTGCCACAAAGCCTGTCCCTCCCACTTGAAAACTCTTTTGTCCACCCAACCACTAAAAAGTTTTTGTGGAGTTTCCTTGTGGCTTTCTTGGTGAAAAAGCTGGAGATTTTTTTACGGAGCCAGAAGATGTCACTGTTGCTCCCACATGGCCTCAACACTTAGCATTCCCCCCTCAGATCTGAAATAACTTTCTGAGTCAGCCTTAATTTCTTTTAATTTTAGCTCTGGATGACAAATCGTGCCATGTGACCGAGCATTAATTTGTATTTTAGTAAATAACATTAACTCTGGATATCATTATTATTTTCCCTGAGCTAAAAAGCCTGGTGTCAAAACAGTAAAACAGGTGCCAGGAGCCAGAAATTTGTGACTGGCACTACATTAAAGCTCCCCAGGCTGTTTGCTGGAGGAAAACCATCATCCAGGAAACTCAAGAGTGCTGGTTCCAGTCAAACTTCCTTACACCCATCCCTAAAAAGTGGAGAAATTACAGTCAGACTCAACATTAGGTATGTGGGCTGTTCCATCATGGGGACATGAGAGGAGACAGACAGATCCCAGCATTTTATGATGGTTGGGCAGGGAAAGCACAGATGTGGCCACACAGCTTAAACATCTGCTGAAGGCCAACCCAAGCCAGGCTGGAGTCCATGCTGGCTGTCAATATGTGCTGAAGGAGGCACTGAACAAGGACAGGAAGCAGGAATGACATCTCTGTGCTGGGAATACCCAGGGACTTCATGGAAATCAATGGCATTTGCAGCTTAATGAGCAGTTGCTGCTGGTGTAGTCAGTGGGTTTGAATGGAGCAATAATTACAGAGCCACAGAACAGTTTGGGTTGGAAGGGACCTTAAAGGTCATCTCATTCCAATCCCCTGTCTTGGGCAAGGACACCTTCCACTATCCTGCTTGCTCCAAGCCCTGTCCAACCTGGCCTTGGACAGCTCCAGGGCTGCAGGGGCAGCCACAGCTTCTCTGGGCAACCTGTGCCAGGGCCTCACCACCCTCACCCTATTGGGAAGCATTTCTTCCCAATATCCCATCTAACCCTGCCCTCTGGCAGTTTGAATCCCCTTGTCCTGTCACTACATGCTCTAGTAAATAGTCTCTCTCGACCTTTCCCGCCATCTCCCTTACACCAGGTTTAGCTTTTGTGGAGGCAATGACCCCACCTTGGTTGTTTTGCATTAGAGGAGTTTGTTCTTTCAGGGAGAGTGGTGAGATTTATGAGTTAGAATCATAGAATCACAGAATCATAGAATCGATTGGGTTGGAAAAGACCTCTGAGATCATCGAGTCCAACCCTTGGTCCAAATCCAGTCCATTTACTAGATCATGGCACTCAGTGCCACGTCCAATCTGCGTTTAAAAATCTCCAGGGATGGTGAATCCACCACCTCTCTGGGCAGCCCATTCCAATGCCTGATTACTCTCTCTGTAAAGAATTTTCTCCTGATATCCAACTTAAATTTCCCCTGGCGGAGCTTAAGCCCGTGCCCCCTTGTCCTATTGCTGAGTGCTTGAGAGTTGGCTCTACGCTGCTTGAATCACCACATCTGATTCTAACCCCAGCAGAAGCTGCCTCCTGAGTGACAGCCAGGGTCTTCTAAACCCCCCAGGGGTGCTGGGACCAACCCCCCTTTGCACTGTATGAAGTGTCTCCTTCATTTTCCATCTGACCGTGGCTTTGAGCCATCCCCCATTCTCACCCTGCCCCCATCCCACCACCCTGGACCCTCAGGAACCTTTGATGATTCAGGCAATGTGGATCAGCGATGGCTTTCCAAGCACAGCATCAATCCCTCTCCTCAATCTCAGGTCTTGGCAACAGTGGGTGAGTTTGTTTTCCTGCCCAGACCCACACCCAATCCATTCCCTACAAAGACAGGCTGACAGAGGTGGGGTTGTCCAGCCTGGAGAAGAGAAGGCTCCAGGGAGACCTTAGAGCTCCCCTTCCAGTGCCTAAAGGGGCTCAGGAGAGCTGGAAAGGGACTTCGGATAAAGGCCTGGACAAGGGGGAATGGCTTCATACTGCCAGAGGGTAGGGTTGGATGGGATACTGGGGAGAAATTGTTCCCTGTGAGGGTGGTGAGGCCCTGGCACAGGCTGTCCAGAGAAGCTGTGGCTGCCCCTGGATCCCTGGAAGTGTCCAAGGACAGGCTGGATGGGGCTTGGAGCAACCTGGTGTAGTGGAAGGTGTCCCTGCCCATGGCAGGGGGTTGGAAATAGGTTATCTTTAAGCCCCTTCCAACCCAAACAGTTCTGTAATTCTATGATGTTTTGATTCCACCTGGGGACCAGCCTCTACCAACAGCCCTGATCTCTCTGCAAGGCAATCCCTGGCTCTCAGCCCTTCAACATCACACTGTCCCAGCTTGATCCTGCCATAGCTCCATGTGTTTGGGAGCAAGGCAGGTGAAGGACTTCACTAAAGATGTAATCCTGCTCATCCTCTTGTCATGTAGAGGTTTCATGCCTCAGTTTCCCCACCGGAGAAAGGGGCTAATTTCCCTGAACTCTTTCACAGTGTTGTTGTGAACCCTGTTAGCAGCACACTGGGTTCTCAGAGGAGCTGCAGCTTTATGCAGCACTTTTTTTAGCTTCAAGAGAGAGGAAAAGAAAACAAAAAGCTATGGTAACAAAGCAAATAAAAGAAGGGTCTCTTTTAAAATTCAACTAGTAATTACTGCTTGAGCCAGGCTACTTAAGAGATTGGTGCTTGCTTAAACAGCCTGTTGGTTTGTTAAAATAACAACTTACATCCAGAGTTTAGCGGTTCATTGCACAATTCAGTCTCTGTACTACGTGCTTTGTCTTTTGCATCCAGATACAAAACACAAATTGAAAAGAAAGAGAAGCCATGAATCGTCTGAATTTCAACTTTGGCCGGGGTTTTCACCCGCTAGAACCTCGTGTACATCTGAAGACAAGGGGCTCATTACCATCCTCATTGCCATGCAAATAAGCCTTTGCAAGGGACGTGTCCTGAGTGCAGCCACAGTTTCCCCCCATTTCTTTGCACTGGGATGAACAGAACCGGGCAGGGAGTCCCCAGAACAGCTCCTTGGCTGGTAATTTTGTACCTGCTGGAGCATCAGGCTCTTCTGATGGGCCCTGGGAGGCTGCACCTAAGGAGGGGTTGTGAGGTCTTATTTAGGGAGTGAGTAAAGAATGGAAGAAATTAAGTCTTGCTTTCATGTATGTGAATATGCAACAACACTTCGAGAGAGGGAGTGTTTTTGGGCTGGGGTTTGTAAGAGTTACTATATAGGAGCATAAATGTTAGAATGTGTGGAAGGCAGTATTGAGTGGTGGGCACTTGAACAGCTCAGGAAACACAGAAAGATGTGTCCAAGGTCCAGAAATAGAAAACAGGAGTAAAAGATCAGGAACAGCAACACAGAGTGATGCACCAGCACTTTAACTTGATATCTCAGTGTAAGAGAATACCAAAGAACAGGAAGAACAATTATTGTAGGACCTGTGGCACAGTAAAACAGTCAAATCTGGTCTTGTTTCAAAGAGGAGCTCTTCCTACTCACTCAAAATCAGCCCTCTGAGTACCTCTCCTGGGCATCCAGCTCCACACTTCCTGGCAAAGCTTGGTGTCCTTTCCAAAGGAGGAGGCTGTGACACTCACCTTGGGGACATCCACCCTTTGGATGGTGTTGGTGTGGAGGGCACTGACACTACCCACAGTATTTGTGCTGGGATCCAGCAACCTCCTGCCATGCTGGAGCATCTGGGACCCCAGAGCCCTCACAGGGAGAGGACAATGGAGACCTGGCTTGTTCCTGAACAGGGCTGATGCTTTTGGGGGTAGTGATCCCAGTAGGGAAGTCTCCATCCAGCCCAACCAAATCCACATATGAAAAACACAGAGACAGCCTGGGGAGTAGGGGCAGACCTCTGAGGCGTCCTTTCTCCACCCTGGCTGCCTGCTCAGTGATTCTCCCTCTGCTGGTGGATGGAGGATCCTGGTTGTACTTCAGTGCAGGATGCTCCCAGGTAGGGTGGGATGCAGAGCCTCATCCTCTCT